AAATGAGTGTTGTTGCAAGTGTCTTGGCTGCTGCTTTAGTTAAGTAATTTCTTACACTGCCAATTTTCTTAAGCTGAAAGTAAATACTTTTGCGGTCAGCCAGTCAAGTTTTATCAAGTATTCTGGGAACTTAGTATTAAGGACTCTCTTATGAAAAGTTGTAAATACTTGTAAAGCGCATAGATCTTCCTGCTAAGCAGGAGTTTGAATAATGCAAAATCATTACTGTTATAATGTCACTATTCAAGAAAATGTCCCCTCTTTTGACTCATTAAGGAGAACAGTGTGTGACAAATGTGATGTAAAAGGATTTGTGTGTGTGTGATTTTACTTGATGCCTGGTGATAAAGAAAGAGGTAAGGTTGTGTTATCTGCATGCTCACTCATTTTAATAGACTCCAAACCTGGATAGGTGTTGATACCCCTTATGGTGTTGTTCTGGATAATTATTTTAGCTAAAATTTCCACAGCAAGAATAAATATCTGAGGTGAAATCGGACAGCATTGTCGAACATGGTGCGTTACTCACTGGAAATGTCCTCGAGACATTACCTCCTTTTTTTACATACAAGAGTCTTTCTGTATTTGATATTTCAATTCACGTTCGAAAGCTTGGGCCATAGCAAAATACATCTAGGCTTTGGAGGATACAATGGGTGTTTATAGAATCAAATGCCTGTTTGAAATCTACCGTAAAAAGGATTTTTGGTGAATCTGTGGTCTTGTGTCAGTGTAAAATACAATCAAACTCTCTGTGAATTATGGATATATTTCTTCCTTTGTTTGTTGTTTTTCAATGAGTTTATCTATAATAGTTAAGATGTATGGATAAAAGTTTAGCTAAGATTTTGTCATCTGCATTTGTTAGGGAAATTTGGTCGCCAGTTATTGAGGCTATGTGTTGAGAGACATTTACCCTTATGCAGTAAAGAAATTACTCCTACTCTTTCAGATGGAGACAGTTTGATGATCTGGAAGCTGTGGTTAAAACTTTTCATAAGAGAGTCCTTAATACTAAGTTCCCAGAATACTTGATAAAACTTGACTGGCTGACCGTTGCATCCTGAGCAGAGCCATGCTTCATTGATTTAAGGGCTGTTGCTGCCTTCCAGTACTGGGGCTTCACAAAACAATTTTATTGTTCATCTTTTGATAATCTAGGATGTTATTAGTAAATGCATCCATACGTTCTGAAACAAACTCAAAAAGATTTATTACGACTGTTAACTTCATTGGAAACGTTTTCGTAGTGCTTGCCGATTTCTTCTACAGTATCCATTTCCTTGTGATTCGTTTTCCAGAGGCGTTTCGGATTTTTTAAACGTATTAACATTTGACCTACATTTTTCTAGAGATAAAAATAAAAAGTATTTTTAACATTTTTCGCACTCTTCAACCCATCTAAAACCCGCTCTCAACTGTGCCCCCCGTACATTCTTTAACTCATCAATTTCCAATTCATGTTTGGACTTTGTAATCGCCTGCCATAAATATTTATTATCAGGATCAGCTGTCAATTTTTCTTCTAACGAGTTTAGACGTGGTTTCAGTAGCTTCTGTTTGTATGAATTTTCTCTTGCTTTGAAACGACTGTATTGCTGAGAAATCCCTGCTGCATCCCATCGTAAATGGGAGTCAACATCTTTGTATTCATTTCTAGTGGAATGTAAAAGTTTTATAATTACTCGTATTTTACAATAAGCAGGGTCTTTAAGGAGTTCAGTATTTAGTTTATATTGCCCTTTCCCAAACTTGAAATTTGAAAACTCAAATAAAGTCACTACCATACGGTGATCACTAAAACCTATTCCCTTTCGGACTCTTTTATAGCAGAGACAAGAGACTCACACGCAAAAATACAGTAACGTCGTCTGGCAATCATTGGGCTACCTCTGCTCCACGTGTAAGCTTTTTCCAAGGGATGCAGAGATCTCCATGAATCTGTCAGACTTATAATGTGAATGAAATTTTGAAAATATTTTTTACATATATGCTTCCCGAAATTATGCCGAACTCCCCAACAGCTATGTTAAAATTCAGCATGCATATTGTATTTCCATTGCCTTCCTCAGCCAAATATGGCTTTATTTGAGTACAGAGCTCGTCTACGAACGCTATTTTCCCCATATTTCACAAGGTACATAAAGATTGATAAAGAACAATCTTTCGCTTTTAATCACTAATCACTACAGAAAATATTAAGATCCTGTCAATCCTGCAGATTTAATTTATATATTTTGCATTAAAGCGTGGATTAAAAAGAGAAACAAGGCCTTTAGTCCTATTGCTACCATGGCTAAAGTGTATAACATCACCCCATTGCTTTAATAATATTATTCGTTTTGATCTAACTTTGTGTTATGTAAGGGAAATAATTAGACCTGCACTTGGTTCATTCCCTTAGCGGGACATTGGCTATTAAGCTGTTCCCCTTTGTAGAAACACTTCCTTGTTGTTTATTATGTCACTTTCATATCATAATATGTCATGTTAGTATTTTATATTCTTTGCCACCGTTTACCATTAGGCTGGTGTTGTATTATTCTCTGTGAGAATAACTGAGACGCTGCAACGGTAATTTATTAATGAAGGAATGTATTCTGTATCATGAAAATAATCTAACATGTTGTGCAGATATTGTTCCTCTTACATATTGATCATGAATAAACTGCTTGTTATGTTCGACCCAAGACGAGACACCTGTGTTCCTAATTGATGATCAAGTTTGCTGTTACAAGTTGCCTGGACAATTTACAAGTACGTAACACTTTGATAAATGACTACTGCATCAAATATTTCAGACAGGAAAGTTTAAAAGACTGCTGACCGATTCTTATGATTTTAAAATCCCCGTGACATTTAATGTTCCTACCTTGAGCGGTTCATCTAGATTCAGTTTCGTGTTACCCCCTCTTCCC